ACCATCCCTTCCCCTTTTGACTCAAGTTATTCCAGTGAGTTAATAGATGGGCAGCATCCTTATCTAAAATCCTACTGACAATACCTGTGCCTGTGCCATACCCAATCCAGCACTACCTCCCTTGATCTGCACAGGAAGGCTCAGCATGGGGCTGGGGATTTAGCTCAGCGGCACAGCGCCTGCCTGGCAAGCGCAAGGTCGTGAGTTCAATTCCCGGTACCGGAAAAAAATCTAAAAGAAAAAGGAAGGCTCAGCAGGAGGCAGCATCTCTCCCTCTCAGAAATTAGGAGACAGGTGAAGCAGCTTGCGTAGGGCCACAGCAAACAGGCTCCGACCCACTCGCTTTCCACTAAGCACCGTGGACGCAAGGCTCAGGCTCCAGCTACAGCCAACAGGGAGGACGGGCCACGAACTGACCGGTGTTCCGAGGATCCCCTCCCCCAAGACCAGTTTCTTGCATTCTGCCTCAGTGTCCCTTCCCTCTTCTGTGACTGTTTGTACTTACTTGATCCTTCTTTAGGATTAAACTAGAATGGCAAAACAGAATCGTGGCAATGCTCAATAAACATTTGTCCTCTGAGACGGTACTTTCCTACACAATGATATAGCAAAAATGGCTAATGTCTAGATACATTCTCCATGGCAACCCATGGCTGACCCTCAGTGCTCAGACCTCATCCTAAATGCCATCTCCTGAGAGAGGTCTTTCCTGACCCCTCTAGGTAGCTCCCTCCCTCTAGGGAAAATGAAGTCCAAGATGGCTGCACTAGGGTTCAGGCTGGAGGGTGTTCCAGTGGACATTAAGTCCAGGTCAGCAAGATTTCTGCATGGCGTACCTCATCGGTCTCAGCGTAAATAACTGATATAACCATGGCCAGTGCTGGCCAGTGTAAGTAACTCATATAATCAAGTTGTTCCTGGCACGTAGCCACCATCGTGTAGACCTCTATATAGAGCTGGACTGGCACCCAGGACAGGGCCTAAGGACCACCCTGCAAGCACACAGCCGGCAGCACCTGAGAGTAAAGCTGGCTGAACCAGTCCACAGCTGTCTCCTCTTTGGGCTGCCCAAATCTCAGGTGAACATCTCGTCTGAGCCCGTGGCTCTCCCCAATCCCCACTCAGTATCACATCATATGGTTTTTATCTTTGCCCCCCCTTACAATGGAATTATTCCAATTATGTGCTAATTTAACTCTCTTCCCTGGAGCTTAGGCTCACAAAGGGAGGCACTTTGCTCACTCTGATCACCCCTGGGATTTAAAAAGGCAGAGCAGGCCTGAATAGCAGACCTTAAGGGGGCGTCCTAAGGAGATCCTCCTCCTCCCTGCCACTGGCCTCCACAGTTCTTTAGCTAAACGCTGGTAAAACCCAGTGCGCAGCTGAGGGAGAAAAGCAGTGTGTCGGTGGGACAGTTCTTGGCATTCTTGATGACTGCTACCGTCACTGTATTAATACATGTTTAGAGAAGGTACACGGACAAGGTACTTTCCCTCACATCAGGACAACAGCACTGTGTTATTATCCCCATGGTTGTTATTATTTATGTATTCAAAGCCTAATCCAAATGCTTTAAACCAGATAGAAAAATGATTCAAACCCTAACACCGGCAAACTGAGTTTCCATTTCCTCATTTGGAAAGCAAATACCACCCACCTACCTCATGGGATTATAGAAAAATATAAATAACAGAAGGGCCCTTAATACAATTCCAGACCTGAGAGCTCACTTCCAGACAGCAAGGGCTGTGTCTTATCCTTTATAATCCAAAACACTACCTAGACAGAGTCCTAGGTGCCTAATTAATTATTTGCTAAATTTTAGAGACAAAAGGTCAACAGATAGAAAGTAGCAGAACTGGTCCTTAAATCAACACTTTCAGATCATGCAAAGGGCTTTCTGCAACATCAGGCTGCCTCTGGTGGTTTGAAAATACTCCTTCATCCCATGCAAAGAAGTCTTACAGGAGTTTGGGCCTACCTATGAATTCAGTGTAAACACAAAATACTTTTTGTCTGATCCTCCATAACCTCCATCTCACTTGTTTTACTCCCTCACCTAAGATCCTTGTTCAAGGAAGTTTTCCTCGCACAAACGAAACCCATATTTTGCATCTGTTTAAATTGTTTAAGTTAACTAGTTTTAAAGTCATAGAGCCCTCAAATTTTAATCTGGACATCCAGACTCCAGAGTCACAACCCACCAAAGGCAGAAGAGCTGCAGGATCAAGCCGTTTGTACACAAGCTCCCAGCTGCTGGCAACCGACCAGCGTCCCTTGCTGAGCCTCCAAAACCAGGGCCCAGACCTCCACCACCTCCCCAAGAATTTTCCAACCATCATAACAAAAGTGTTTTGAAACTCAAGATGAAAGGTTGTGATCAAAGAGGCCAAAGGTACAGGCTGCTAAGAGAAGAAAACATAAGATGGTTTCCATGTGATAGGGACAGGAAGCGTGTGGGCAGCAGGGGCCCTGGGCTGGGCTGGGCTTCCCACCACTGCAAAGAATGGCAGGGAGCAGACAAAATACAGTGGTTGTGGTAAATCGCTTCCGGCCTCACTAGAGCACGGAAAATAAAAATAAACCACCCCATAGAGGTGCTGAGCTGGAAGCAGCAGGAAGTGCTAGGCTAGACCTCCACCTACTACAAACCCAGCTCCTTCAGCACCCTTCAGCTGAAAAAACGCCTAGAACAGGAAACCAAACTGGGGGCAGGGCAGTAACAGTTCTTCCAGCCTGAAGAACAGCACCTCCGCTAATTCTTCTGTGCATAAGAACCGCAGAGCAAGTCAGCTGAGACCTAACAACAAATTAGTCGCTTACAACAAGCCTTTAACTAAATTTCAACTCAAGATTCCAAAAGCAGTCAGCAGGTCTTTGTCCTGTTGCAAATGGTGATAACACACACCGAAGATGAATTGCCCATGGATGGTGACCAGTTTGGATAAATCTGTCTCAAAGACAACACCTAATCTGATATCCATCCCATGTCCCTCAAAATCACTGTGAAAAATTTTTATCTGTATATTAAAGGCTCTGAAAACTGCAATGTCTTCCCTGATAAAGTGATTATCTTTCCCAGTGGTTAGCTCATTTGTCTTTGAAATTCAAATGCTTTTGAAATACCTATCCAATCAAGAGTAAAAGTAATCCAGAGGTCTCCTAATAAAGCTGAACATCTGTACCTAAGTTTTAAAGCAAAACCGTTCAGTCATAATCTTAGTGAAGGGATCCCTCATGTTGGTAAGCTATGGTCCACAAACCCACAGCCATTTCTGTGAGCTGTCTTGTAAACAAGTCTCCTCTCCAGGCCATTCGTTGACTTGGGTGTTGGGCAGAGAGCTAATAAAGAACAGGGGTCCAAGGTTTTCACCAAGTTTGCAGGTAACTGCAAAATACACCAAAAGCTATAAACCACTGCTATATACATCAGTGCTTCTAGAACTTTTCATGTGCCCATGAATCACCTGGAGACTCTGTTAAAATACTCTGCTCCTGCAGTTTCAGGGTGAGGACTGGATGTCTCCTTTGCAAATAAGCTACGAGATGCTAGTACTGCTCATCAGTGACCACATGGTGAGCAGCGGGAATGCAGGGCCCTGCTTCTCCAGGTGGCTGTGTACTGGATTCACCTGGCTGGTTCAACTGCAGCTCCCACCCCACAGATCTAATTGGTCTGGTATGACTCAGGAATTAGTTTTGCTTTTTAGCTCCTCAGGTTATGCAAATATGCAGCCAAGCTAGAGAACCTCTGGGCAGAACTCAGTAGTCAGCTACGTATAAATAGCACAATTATCAATATAGCTTGTTTCCCACACCACACATGGGGGAAACAGGGTTGCTCATGGTACTCGTAAATAAATGTGCCTAGACTCTGGCCAGCAGACCTGTTTTCTACCTAAGCTCCCTCCACACCCCAGTACTGGGGCTTCACACATGGTAGGTAATTTCTCTGCCACAGAGCTACATTCCCCAGTCCTTTTTAAATAGTCATATTTTGGGACAGTGTCCTACCAAGCTACCCAGACCAGCTTCAAACATGAGCTTCCTGCCAGCCTCCACACAGATAGGATGACAGGAACGTGGCACCATACCCAGCTCAACCCTCGAAATCTGAACTTTAATATCTTCACCTATCCGATGAGAATTGTCAGCCTTGAGAAAACTGCAAGAATAAAACATTTGTGAAGGTGCTCTGGAGAATTCCATGTCCTTCAAAGCAACATACACGCAACTCCCACTTTTTGAACTCTATTTACACTGTCTATAAAGATACATATTTCAGGCCAGGCCGGTGCTGGTAATCCCAGCACTTGGGAGGCTGAGGCAGGAGGATCACCACGAGTTTGAGGCCAGCCTGGGCTACATAGTGAGTTCACCGCCAGCCCAGACTACATAGCTAGAATGTGTCTCAAAAAAAAAAAAAAAAAAAACGTATTTCACTTTTTACCACTAAAGCATATTGAAACAAATGTAAACATGAAAGCACACACTTAGTTCAATTCCTAACCTAGCACTTTATGCTGCAGTTCTAGGCATGCATGGTCAGAAGAGCAGGGCCACCTGTAACAGAAGGATTAGTAAGATGACCTGCCCCAGGAAAGGACAAAAGGTTGCCGTTTCCTAGGGCAGTGATGGTGAGCCTTGTAGACACGCGCCCAAACTGCAACCCAAAACCTACTTATTTATCATAAAGGGCCAACATTGCAATTAAACCTGAACACTGAGGTTTTAGTTTAGAAAAGAACTAGTCATACATTAACAGCTTTTGTCTTAAAAAGAAAAACAACACATGTGCCATGGACTCGCCACCACTGTCCTCAGGTCTCAGCACTGTGTTTTGTCATTAACTGCAAATATGTAATAAAAACAAAGATCTAGGTCCTTAGTTCTAAGTTACCAACCCATAAAGTTTATTTTATTAGCATACCTAATGAAGGAGAAAATGATTTCACTACCAATAAAAAAAAAAAAAAAAAAAAAAAAGTCAGAGGCATAGAGAAGAGTGGCATGAAGTTTTTTTAATCTGGAGGGTAAAAGGCAATACTCAATGAAAGACAAAGGTCATGTTAACAAACGTTTGTCACAAAGCTGGTCTGACACAGAGGGAGAGAACCTCTCTGGGCCCTCCGCCTGTACACCAAAGCAGGCTTGGTAGTGAGTACAAATCTGAAAAATCCACGTATCCAACAAGCTGCCATCTCAAGAAATCGTATCCAGGAGACATCAAAAAGTGAACCTAAAGAGAAAAAAAAAAAAGATAAAATGTTTCATGATACTGCAGACAGGACCCCACGTCCTTCGGTCTAAACTCTAACCTTCCAAAACAGTTACAGGATTCCTAAATTAGTACAGTACTTAAACCAGACTAGAACAACATCCACAAAGAGGTAAATACTTTCCACAAAATATTTTAATTGGAGTATTATCTACAAAAATAATGTTCAAGCCTGGTTTGGTGGTACACGGGTGTAATCCCAGAATTCTGGGAGGCTGAGGCAGAAGGATGGTGAGTTCAAACCCAGCCTGGGTAAATCAGCAAATGAGTAGGATCCTATCTCAAAATAAAAAGTAAATACAGCAGTGGGGATGTAGCTCAGTGTGAAGGGCCTGCACTCAGTCCCCACTATGATGATGATGATGGTGGTGGTGGTGATGGTGGTAGTGATGATGCTGATGATGAAACCTAAATTCTGAACCTATCAGGACGAAACTGACTAGGAGCTAAGAAACTCAAGTTCTCACTCCGGTTCTATCATCAGTGATCTGTATGACTACCAAAGTCACTCGGACTCCCTGGTCCACCAACTCTTCGAGGTGAAGGGGTTGCAGTTTGGCCAAAACTTTTCTGGATAAAAATGCTTATAAAGCACTGATTCTAGTTTAGGGGAATTATGGAGAGAAAGGATTCAAGTAACAAAGTAGAGAAAAAATTCTCAATCTCAGATTTAATGAAAGACCAAAACAATAAAGAGGGGGGTAACAGAAGAAATAACTTAGTTATTACTGGTGGGAGCTTTCCGTTTTTTTGGTTGTTGTTTTTGTGGTACTAGGGATCAAACCAAGGTTCCTATGCATTCTAAGTGCATGCTCTACCACTAAGTTATATTTACATACCGTTTTTTCTCCCCAGATGGCCTCAAACTTGGGATCCTCCTGCCTCCTGTGTAGGTGGGATTACAGGCAAATGCCACTGTACCCAGCTTATTTTTCATTTAAAGATTAGCTTTGATAAGAAGATGCAAAATAACCCCAAGAGGAGTGGCTACACTGCTGCTACAGCCATGTGAAACTAGAACCTGTAAAATATAAGGTAGTTCCCTCCCAGGGAACGATACAGGCTTCCTCTCACATCCCTCAGAGTGAGCTTCCCACCTAGAGGATTGCACCATGGCCCTGGAGGCATTAACGTTTCCCACCAGAAGCAGCCAACTTTCCCCCATCTGTCATACACACACTGTGACATTCTATGTACACCAAGACTGGGAAATGCTACCTTTCAGAAGAAAAAGGCTACCTATTTCAGTAGGTAAAAAGGCACCATCTTACTTTGTGTACTGGTTTGAATGACCTAGAGCGTCTAGCATCAGAATATAAAGGAAAGACTTTAAACTTCTAATCATAATGTTTTTATTTAACTAACACTGGCATTTAAAGAAATGCACAACTGCAGAACATTCTTGTATCGGTGGAATCACGGAAAATCTATAAAAGAAGAACAAAATCACTGAGGAAGTGTTCATGGTGCTAAACAAGATCAAACAGGCCTACAGGAACTCGTCTGTTCTATCAAATTTGTTAAGGCAAACACTACAAATAGACTACAGACCAACATAGCATCAGTTCTAACAGCCGTCAGTTCTAATGGTAAGAGAGGCTACTTCAGCAAAAAAAGCTTTGACACATTCAGAATTAGAAATCCTAGTTAATGCAAAAGTCAATTTCAAGATTTTATGATATTAAAACATTTTTAAAATCGAAAATGTTGAAGCCGGTCCGTGTGGAAGGCAAAACTAACTCATGAGAGTAAGAATTCAGATAGCAGTTTTCAGATAATCCCATTGACAAAGATCTGCTCTCTTCTTCTAAGGCAAAGATATATTTACCAGACATTATTCCAAAAGCTGAGGTCCTAGGATTCTTTGATATGTTAGTTCAACAAAGTTGAAAAGAATGGTTTTGACCGTTAACCAAGGGATAAATGTTTTGGGAGCCTGACTAATAAAATCTCCTCCCCTGATACAGAGACATACAAAAAATATGGCTCTCACTGAGAAAAAATAACAGGACTTCTCAGGCTATTTCACCCATGCAGAAAAGACAGTGGCATTTATCAGTCTGTTCTAATCATAAAAGAAAGCAAGGCACAACACAAAGAACTGTTGGAAATAATTATTCTTTGTATAGATAGACATTATAATGCCAGACAGGTCATTTCTTTTTGGAATGTGTATTCTTCTCCAGTACCATCTCTATTCAAACACTAGTATTGGACAGATATGATCAAATGCTGATTTTCCTTCTAATCTACCTCACTGGATCCTGGAGACCTAATTAAAATAGAAATTGGAGATAATATGAATCAAAGACTATTATGCAGAAATTCTCAAGTTCAGAGCTCAGTGTGAATCACTACAATTTTAGAAGGTACAGGTCTTATATTTCTAAAAATGAAAGGAGCTTCAGCAATCACAGCTCACTAATCACCTCATTTTAGAGATGAGGAAACTGCAGCCTGGTTGACAAATGTGCTGTTTAGCCAGCAACACGCTGTCCAACACTATAGCCAGGAGCCACAGGTGACTATTTAGTTAAAATGTAAGGAAATGACCCGAGGATATAGCTCAGCGACACAAGCACCTGCCTGGTAAGCACAAGGTCCTGAGTTCAATTTCCGGTACCAAAAAAAAAAAAGAATAAGGAAATGAAAAATGCAATTCCTTAGTCACTCAGCCACATTTCAAATGTTCACTAACCACGTGTGGCTAGTGGTTATCACACTGGGCAATGCAGACCCAGACTATTTCCACACTGTAGAAGACAGAAGTCCTGGGTCACCCTCACCAGATAAAGTCAAGGCTCCTGATCTTCATTATCCTGCATTTCTCTTGCACACATTTAAGAAACTTGGCAGAAATATTTGAGACACTCTATGAATCTCTCCTAAATTATTTCCGTTTTTTAAAAAAGCAAGTTTACTACTTTTAATAAAACCCTCTAATTGGAAGATGTATACATTCCCATGCAGAAGTCCTTGAACATAACAGAGAGCAAGAAGTATCAAAGTTTGCTGTCCAAACATCCATTATGAAAATCCCAGGCAGTCCCTTAGTAGTTCAGGACGTGGAAAAGTCAACTTAAAGTTCACCAAAGTTCAAGTACCTCTTGTCTACCTCCAAAGGATGAATGGTTAAAAAAAACACATACTTTCAATGTAGGTAAAATAAATGTAGAAGGTCAGTGATTCATACAAGTTTGATAATGTAAGACACTCCAGGCTTCTGTGCCCTCTTGTCCCTACCTCAACACCGCCCACATCTGGCCAGGATGTAACCAACCCAACTCAGCATTTAAACTTACTCGTACCTCTGCTGCCCTCCTATGACTGGAAAGAAACTAGGTTTTACCACAAAGATCAGTGGTTTTTTTCCCCCAAACAACTTCTTTGGCCTGGTGGTAGTACATTCTCTCAGCAAAGGAAATGTACAACCCACTAGGTGGCAGTACAGCTTAAAGAATACCATTAAGAGTCCCTTCCCAAGGAAATTCTCTAAATTACCCTTGATAAATTCAAAGTCAACACAATTGCATATCTGTAAACAGTACCACCTGTCACAGTTAAAATGTTCTGCCCAACTGGGTAGCCTCCTTGCTTTAGCTAAGACTGAACACTGAATTTGGGGTGGGGGTGGTTTTGTTTTGTTTGAGAAAGGGTCTTGCTGTGTAGTTCAAGCTAGCTTTGAACTATGTAACCCAGACTGGCCTCAGACGCATAGTGGAGATCCTCCTGCCTCAGCCTCCTGATTGCTAGAATTATAGGTATGTGCCACCACACCAGGCTTGAACACTGAATTTTCAGGACAGGTCCACTATTAAAAAAAAAACACCTTCGGTGCTTTGTCCCTCTGTATTCTGCTCACCTTCCCTCAGATCCAGGGACCAAGTATAAGGAACTTTAATTTCCCAACTATGACCCAGTATATCTCTGTCCCTCTTCTCCTGTCTTTCACAAACCTGAGATAGACTGACATTATCTGAAAAAATTTCAAGTAAACATGTAAAAACAAAACAGGAAATAATTACAGAAAGCATTTATATTTTTAATACTCAAATCTACTGAGTTTTGGTGTCACACAGTCATTCAAAGTTTACTGCCCCCTAAGCGTCCAAAACTGAGCATCATTTCCAGTATGCATGGGTTCCTAGGGCTCAGGCACACTGCGAGCACGTTTACCTTATGTCTCCATGTTTATGATAATCTAAAAATGCTGAGTCTATTCATGACCACCTGGACAGCCACCTATTACCAGTACTGCCAACAGAGACAAGGGTTAACTTTTACCACAGGGTTGATCAAACCGCTATTTTTGGATATGTTATGAGAGGACTACAAAGTCTCAAATTTAGAAAACATTATAATAATAGATCTGCATATTACCCTACTCTTGGTTGAACAAAACTGCACGAAATTCAAATCTTACAGGAAAGTAACTGAGACAGAGAAGGACTCAAAGGCAACTTCAGCTGACTACATGTTTAATCCATTCAAAATCTGTCAATTCCAGGTAGTAAACACAGGGATGTTTGTTATCTAATTTTTTCTGTCTTTTTAAAATTCTCATAGTAAAAATAATACAGTAAACAACTTTGAACAATAGGATATAGAAATAGCAGGTTTTGGAAGCTGGACTGAATTATGAGATTTATCAGTTGTAAGATTTCTAGCAAAACTCTCCAAACCTCAGTTCCTGGCCTATAAATAAGACTAGCAAGTCTATCCTTATGAAGTTAATTTTGAAAAGAAAATGAGATACAGAACCAGAATCACTTAAAAACGTGATATACCATAAACAGTATCTGTTAACTGTCTTCCTCTGAATTTTTTTATGCTAAATGCCTTTTCCAGTATAGCCCCTAGCTTTAAATGTCAGCCTCAAATTCATGCAAGATCAGTTACACTACAGATGTTTATTTTTCTATATCCAACACTCAGCTGAAAAATATGGAGAATATTCAATC